GTGTGTTTGTCTTTTTCCCCCATTCTGAAACCCGAGTTTATCACTCACTAGATTAGTGATGGAGAAGCTTGTTACACTAAATCAGCGTCCTGAATGTTTTTACTTTGGACAATTCATTGAATCATTTGACATTCAGGATTTCACTTAGCTTTGGGCATATTAAATTACTGTGAGTAATCTGGAAACAGATAAGTTGTTTAGTCAGCCTATGTATTTGATCTTCTAAAATATGGCTATATTTATACATACATATGTAAAGTACATTATCCCATAAACTCTGTGGCTATGCATATGGCTGTACATATTATGACAGTCGGGGAGTTCAGAATTTATAACTCCAAATGATTTTCATGAATAATACACATTAACAAACATAGTTCATTTTTTAAAAACTTTATCTGTAATTCAAATAAGCATCAAATTGATGCAGGAGATGAAAGCATATTTTGTGGGGACCCTTTCCCCCTCCCCATGTGCGAGTCCGTTCTGTGGGACTCTTCCCCCTCCCTACATGGGAATCTGTATTTGTTCTTTAATAAATTTCCAACTTTGCTATATCAAAAAAAAAAGTATATTTTATATGTTTCTATACATATGTAATGGGGGAGGACCTATTGGTGTTTATTTCCACCTATTTCTTAGGTGGAAATCCATGCTTTAGTTACGTCAAGTTATATTGTACCTTCTCTGTTATTTGCTCCTTGTGAATTTGGCCTTCTTTATTATAATGTTTTAATTCAAGCACTTTCCTTTTTTTCATGTCTCACATCCAGAAGAGTTCGGCTGTATTTTCACCTGATAGCACATGTTTTAGTCATGACTAAGTTTACTAGTAGGCTGCTTGGCACCTTCAATGTTTAGCTGTCAGTGAGTGGCCTCTGGACCTTGTTTTTATGAAGACGGTTGTGAGGAAGTTCAGGAATCAGAAGCCTTCCGTGTGACTAATCTGCAGACTGCTGCCATTTTCAAGAATTCTGATAATCCTTGACACCCAGAGATTAAGTCCTTCTTTGGATCATATTGAGACACTCCAAAATCACCCAACTTGTAGCATTTTTTTTTTAAGCAGCATGAGCACTGGGTTGTCGTTAGCAGGACAGAATGAGCTATAAATAAATAAAATCCTACAGTGCTTGCTTCATTCAGGGTAGTGTGCTGATAAGATGCAAGCATCTGGGAGAAGAGAAGATGCTCAGCAGGTTTAAGTGCTTACCAAAGTGCTTTCCTGTATCCATGGCTCAGCTGCTGGTCTCTGCTGTGTTATTTTGGCACTCTAGACTTGTAAGATTGGAGAGTTGAGTTTAAAACTCTCAATATATCATTAGAGTAGCCCAAGGTCCCTTCTTGTCAAGGAAGACTAGCTGATTCCAGGGGGAAAGAAAAGCAGAATCCAGGGCACCTGTAAATCCCTATAGTTTTGTGCGGTGGGTTTGTAGCTAATTATACAGCAGGCAGCAGTAATATGCTGCAGCTCTGTTGGCATACTTGTTTCAGAAAGAGCAAAATCTTCCAGCAGAGCAAAGAAGGGCTTTAAAGAGGCTGCAAATGAATGAATCAATGATCATTTTATTGTAAACTAAAGCTCTACATTGGAATCAGGGCATCTCAACTGCGAGGGGGTGGTGGGGAGATGCCAATTGAAGTACATGGTTCAGATGTGTTTTAAAGCTCTTGATTTGGATTCTCCTGCAGAAATATAGTCACGCAAGGAGACCACCACTGGTCACAGCCAGTCAAATTGCTCTTTCTCCTATGGTACTGCTGTTAGCAACTGCTAGTAGGTTATTCAGCCGACCTCTTCTGATTCTGCTTTGCTGCCTGATTTCAAAAGATTTGCCCTATATGGCTCTCAGTCACAGCTTGATGTAACCACTGCTTGTTTGCATGCATCCCCATCATTTTCATATAGGGTCTTCCTCCCCACCTTCATGTTAGAAGGCAGAAGAATCAGGAGCATTTTTATATGATAAGAAATTTATGCAGGGCCAGCTAGAATCAAGCAAAATGAAATTCAGCTGGAAGGGATGGCAAAAGGCTCAGAGAACTTGTGACTGCCAGAGAAGTCAGTGTTCCTTAAATAAAGAGGGTTCAGCTAGCAGGCAGCAACTCTGACTTTGCATTCATATTGAAGCAGGCTCTCCAGCCATTCTAGGCAGACAGATCAATAAAATCAGAGGTGACTTAATGCCAAGAACCTCAGAATTCAACGGATTTCTCTTGTCCTTCTTTAAATTTATTCTATATTGATGTGGAATGCTAGCCTCAGAAACTGAGATGAGAAATTGCCCGGTTTAGATTCTGGTTTATGACAAGCCTATTGAACAGTGTCCTTAGAATGCATCCCCTTTGGTTTCTCAGTTATCACATCTATAAAATGGAGCTGTTCTACTGGAAGGAAAATGATTCTAATAGTTATCAAAACATTGTGAATGAAGATTCATCATAAGTGAATAGCCTAAACAGCAAATGTCTTATGAGAGGTGAATTTATATCCTATGTATTTGAAAATGCAGTTGATTGCCTATCAGAGATTGAGCAGTTAGATTATTTCTGCATCATGGGTATGCAGTGAATGTGGTAGATTTTATTTTATATTTTTAGCTACATAAATGGAAGAGTTGACTCATACAATCTCTTCCTTGATTGTTTTTGTGCAGATGATGCATCTAGCTTCCTAGTGTATCACAGTACTGTACAGTATGCCACATTGGTCATATTCTTAAATTGATCAAATAACCCCTGATAGGGTAACAAAATACGTAAATGATCATATGGATATGGCTAAGTATTTACCTTGTAATAGAGAATTTATCCTTCCTTCTCTCCAGCCGCACAGATTCTTATTGTACCAAAAAGGAAAAGCTGCCTCTAAACTTACCTCTTACATGATTGATTTGATGCCATTCCTTTAAAAACTGGAGATGTTGGGAGTTTTGTTCATACCCCATACTGTGTAGATGGTACACAATTTATATAACAAAGCAGCAGGGGGCTCCCTATGAGAGCCTGAGAATTGCTATGGAGAAGGACTGGCTTTTTGTTGGTGGTGGTGTTTTCAATTCAGGCCCTTTTCTGCTGAAAACTTGGCCGTCGTCCTGTGAAAATTCCCTAAGGGATTAAAGTGCAGCTACAGAAGCAGTGAGACCATTTTATTAGTTTAAGAAACTGGTTAACAGTTGAGAGAGATTATACTGGTTTCTAAATTCCAGAAACCTGGATAGATGGAGCCTGAGATTGCTTTGGTTGTAGGGTCCTTCTCTCTGACCTGAGTGAGGTTCGTGGGAAGGGACTGTACAAGTGACTCCTTTCTTTAGAATCCTTTATATCTTAAAAGGAAGACTTTTCTGTGTTCTCATTAGTGTCTACATTTAGTTTTCTTAGTTTTACCTCCCTCTGCTCTAGAACCTATGCATACTTCATGTTTGTTGTTGAGGGCCCAGTGCATTATAACTAAGGGTGTCTTGTAAAATGAAACCCATTCCCCTGAGTGAGAGGCTCAAAGAATCCACACAGCAAAGGTGCAGGTTTTTGCACTCAGAGGTTGCTCTTGCTATCGTAGGAATTCACTCTGTGATACAGGTTTGATGCAGAGAGCATTGCTACTCACAAATCACATGAGGTATACAGTTTGTGTGCAGTGATATGTCACAGCTTTTTATTTATGTGGCCAGCTCAGTCTGTTCTGCTCCTTTCAATGCCATGGAAAGTGCATCATTTTCCTCCCTCTCTCCTCCTTCCCACATATCATCAGCACCACCCACTACGTTCTGTCCATTAAGTCCTCTGTGTGCCAGAAAACCCCAACAATGATTAAATGCTGATAAAAGAATGTTAGAAGGTTAAGATATCAACCAATCAACCCCCTTACAGTCCTCCTAAATTGTGGGTGGTAAGTATAACTTTGCCCTTTTAACATTGGAAATAAGAGGTTTTAGTTGGTGTGGGGTTTTTTCTCTTTATGTTGAGGAAATGCCTGACATCATTTTAAGAAACAAAAAAATTTGGTAGCAAAGACCAAAGAGAAAATAAGAGACTTGCTTTGCAGTTTCCATAATTACCCTAGTCTTTCTTTCATGATTTTGGCACATTCTTTATTGGGAAAAACTAAGGTTAGCCAAATTTAGGTAAGGTTTTATTTATGAGAGGCCTAGAGTTTTTAAGTTTACAGCAATTTAAAAAAGTCATTATTACTCTAAACAAAATATATAAATGATAATTTAAAAAGTGTTAATTTTTACGTATTATATCCCGCTAGCCATAGAATTATTTATCATTATAATCCTACTTGATTTTTACTTCCTTAAAGCCCCTGTACTACAAAGTACCCTCCTTTCCAACCTCTGTCACCACCACCCACCACTATCCACCACCACCATCCATCACCAACACCCAGCACCTAACACCACCCACCACCTACCACCACTATTCCACCCAGATCTATGGGAGGAAGATGATGGTGGAAGAGACTTGAAAGGCAGCTTGGTAACTCATTGGCTCCTTTTCTTTGGAGGAGAGTTTGTAGGTTCATAACATACTCTTCAAAAGCAATTAATGTAGGAGGGGCTATAGAATCAACTTCTCTGGACCTCCTTATTACATTTTTAGTAAAGTAGGAACAAGAAAGAAGATTCTCTAAGAATCTTGTCAAGAATTCTATTTTATATTGAAGCTTAATATACCATATCATATAACTTAAATTAATTTTCATGAGCCTGTGTTTTATCACTACTCTGCATTATTTTTTTTGTAATAGAGCTATAAAAAAAACCATGGTAAATATATTCGACCGTTTCCATCAACGGCTGCTTGGTGAGGTAGGTCAGGAGGCATGCCTCTTTGGAGGCACCCTGGAGGTGGAAGGGTAATGAGCACTTATGTCTGCTGAATGCCAGAGCTGCCAAATTGGAGCTCCTCACGACTGGTGTGTATCTGCTCTGACAGTTCTTTTATTATGGCTTTTACTAACCTATAAGTAACTAACTGTGGTTGTTTAATTACAGAGGGAACATCCCCACGCTAAACAGGTACCGTATGTTTAGTTTTTTTCATTTACAATTAAAAACACCCTTTTTGTAAACTTAGAATAGTGAAATCAGGGGAAAAAATAGCCCTATACTGGACAGGCTAATATGTTATCTTCTGCCGGGGAGTCCATCCTGAGCTCCCCTTTAGATGTGCTAAGTTATTCTATTTGGAAAACATGTCTTCAGCTCTTCTTCAGCTATTCAAAAGGCAATACTTGAAAAGCCTCAGTATAGAAAAGCTCTCGTCAACTGTATGAGAGGGGAGTTGTCTGCTCAATGTTCATCTTTGCTATAAACATCTTTTTTTTCTTTTTCTAAGTTATATGTCTAGTTGGGGCTTTCATAGGAGAACCCCTTAAGGTTACCACTATCCTAATTTTTTCAATTTTGAGTTTCTCTTATTTGCTTCTCGTTTTAGAGGAATGCAAATTCAAAAATAGCTGATCTCATGTTTTATAAATTTGTTTGCTTTTTTTTCCCTAAAATGATAATAATGATGTGAAAGTCAAGTTTTATTTCAGACCTATAATAAGAGTCACATTGGAATAGTATATTTAAGTTTTGATGTGTATAGCCCTGGGAAGAGGTTTCTAGGCCAATATAACACACTGATATTTTAGTACTTTTGAGTTCCTCCTGCTTCTGAGCCAAGCAAGGCAACACAATGCAAGTTTGAGAGGAAAGCAATTCTGATTGGAATTTAATCCACAAAATGCTAAAGCAATAATAGGTTGGTGGCAAGCTCTTTGTACATGATCACTTATACATTGAAATATTTATAGGCTTATGTTTATTTTGTCCCTCTCCCTTTAAATATTAAGCAATCAAAACTCGTTAAAGCTTTTAGCATCCAATTTAGATGGGAGAAGAAAGGGAGTGCGTTTGTTTGGTCCTCTTGCCTACCCTTGGAGAGTGGGCTTGGTTCATTCCTGCTTGCCTTCAGCTGTTCTGACCCATGAACATAGTACCAAGGGAAACTGAATAGTGGATATTTCCCATGGGGTTCAGCTGAATAAAAATGATATTTAACCCTATGTTTGCCACAAGCACAGCCTGATAGCTTATTTAGAGGGAGTTCCCTTTAAGTGTTATCTGGAACTCTTTTATCTTTCCTGTCTACTACCCGGCAGGTAGAAAAGATACAATGCCTCACAAACTTGCTCCTTTAGTGAATATATTTGGTGATCCTAGAAAAGAGGATGATAGCATTTCGGAGTTCATACAACTCTGAATCCCAGTTTCTAGTGAGCACCATGTGTAAGACTTGCTTGCTGTGTTTCATTTGTTTGTTTGTTTGTTTCATTCATGGTATCAATGGTTTCCTCTCTCACTCTGCCTTTCTATTCCCCAGTACTGTCAAAGACGAAGTACCTTCTTCATAGTCATGATTTGCCAAGGGAATAAAAATCCAGAGTGTCAGTCTCTATAGTCTGTGTGAGCAGCACTTCCATCCTATGAAAAAATTCCATTGCCTTTTATAATTACAATTTGCAGTAGAGTACAGTATGTACCCAGATCTCAAGTCCACATTGCTGGCTCTCTTCCCCCTGCAATGCTGCAGGTGGTGCACTTAAGGAGATTTTAGAGCAGCTCCCTGAAGGTCAGGTGCCATTGCCTTGCTCTGAACTTGCTTCCGATCAGTATGCCGGTAACATGTCAGGCAAGTCCTAGAGGCATCCTTCAGCTTGGTCCTTCCTAACAGGCTGCCCTGATTGACTTGGCATTCAGAAACACTTTACAGTATTATTTATCAGTGCATACTGCTGAGGTGCATCAAGGAATATACAGCTTCATTATGTTTTTAGATTGAACAAATCAGTTCAATTCTCTTCGAGCATCTCCATTTAGCACTTGTTTGTCATGCTTACACATACTGTGAGACCCATGCTCTGCCCTTTCATATCCTGCTGGGATTTATTAAGGGCTTTTAGTGAAGGTATGCTTACCTTGGTATAGAAATGTCTGACTATAAAATAGAAATTTTGCAATTTAGGGTTGAAAATATCTCTCTTTCAAAAAGGGAGGAGCTATAATTCTTATGACTGCTGTGTCTATCAGCCCATTAAAGAAAAAAGTAAATACTTCATAAGTTCCTTTTATAGACTGTGACTTGTTTCTGTATGGTAAATAATGTTTTTTATAATGATCTACTAAACCATTCCAAATGACTTAGAGTTGTCGCACATGCATATATCTATCTGTGAATACTTAATCTATTACAGTTACTAGAGAAAAATGCCTTAAGTGTTGCCTAGTTACAACTTACTTGGCTTGCTTACTTTCTTTTAAAACAGGAAGTGTTTTAGGGAAGGGGAAGATGCAGAATGGTTTTTAACCCCTATGTGCTGTTTATTCATCAGACATGCCATGATGTCATTGTATTAAAACTGCCATGAAATTCCTGACAGTCCTTAGATTTTTATTTGGAGAGATTTTGGAGTGGTAAAAATATAGTTTGTGTGTCTGTATACATGGGGCAGGGGGGAGGGGGTGGTGGTGGTGGTGGAATTCAAATGAAGGGGTTAATGTGACTATAGCAAGACAGCCTTATCCATACTGGGTAAAAAACCAAATCTGCTCTGCAACCTGACCCTATTTCTGAGTTTTCTCCTAGCTCCTTTTCTCTATTGTTACTCTCCCAGCCCTTGCTCCTACCCTCCTTGTCTAACACACTTGGTTGAATTACCATTTAGAATGTCCTTCTCCTCCAACCTCAACCACTGTGGCATGACTCATGTAGCTAATGTCAGCGACGTGCTGTTGGACAATTCATTCACTCCACCATGCCAGCGGATGGGTGGAATGGTCTCTTTTCGGACTTTTGAAGATTTTGTCAGGTAAGACATTGTGGAGCTGTGTATGTACAAGAGGAGCGATGGGCGTCTGTGTTTTGGGGGTCTCAGATTTCTGCCAAATGAATAAAGGTCCCCAGAAGAGCCATGAGCCAGCTAAGGAGATGTAGCCCTTGCTGTATATGCCCTCAGAGAGGTATATGTCCTTCCATTTCTACCTCTTATTCAGACTCTACAAGCCTCTAGTTGTTATATGAGCCTGGTCAGAAAAAAAGAAACAAACAAAAACCATCTTTTCCTTAGGAGCTAGCAGAAGAAGCTGTCTGCTCTGTGATGAGTGAAATGTCAGGAGAAATTAAACACAACACTAGAGTGAGCCCACCAGAGACGATACATCTTTTGATTAAATGCATTCAGCATCTATCTCTTGATGTATACTGATGCATTACCCTAGGGGGAGGGGTAATTACATTGGTCTGTCACTGCTCCAGTCCCAGGCTCTTTCTGTTACTTTAAGACTGATGATGACAGCAGTGTTCATATCTTACATATGAAAAAAGCAAAACAAAAAGCTTTAGCTCATTCTTTATTAAAAAGAAAAAAAAATATGCTTTATTAAAGTTGAAACAATCCATCCCCCTAATTTCTGCCACTTGGTGAAATTTTGCATATCACCTCTAGCCACTCGTGATTGCGTTCAGTTGACTGTTGAGCACAGGGTAGGGTAGATTATTCTTTTAGACTGAGCTGGCAATGGCAGCGTTCATATTCTGCCACTTGGATTTTCATGGTGGGTGTTTTTCTCTGGTATTTTTCAGGATCTTTGGTGAAGTGATGGGCTGCTTCTGTGATTCCCCACCCCAAAGCCCCACATTCCCTGAGGCAGGTCACACGTCTCTATACGATGAAGACAAGGTATACTGTCCCGTTGGGAGACTGCTTTGCTCCTTCAGATCCATGACTTGTACTATGTATATACTGTCTTTCTGACTTTGGAGTGTTATAGGGAAGAATTCATCTTTTTAAAAAATTCTGACCTGAGGATATTTTTTTCATTGATTTTTTTTTTTCTTTTTTAGAGATAATGGAGGGAGGGAAGAGAAAAACATTGATGTGAGAGAAAAACATCGATTGGTTGCCTCCCGTTTGCACTCTGACCGGGGTTAGGGATCCAGCCTGCAACCAAGGAACATGCCCTTGACCAGGAATTGAACCTGTGACCCTTTGGTCCATGGGCTGATGCTCTAACCACTGTGAAAAACTGGCCAGGGCAGGAATTCATCTTTTTACCCTACTATTTATTATTTAATTTTATATACTTCATCAAGTATTTTTGGAAATTTGTAGAATATAAATTCTGACCTAAAACATATTAATCTTGGAATCCATACTGTGGAATAGGCTCGGCTGTATCTATTGTAGCTGCTTCTGGGTCTCTGAATGTTGTTTCAAAGACTTCAGCTTTGGTTGCTTCAATTCTTATGTAGTAATGGCTTGGATATTTGCACAGTGGTACTATTATAATCTTCAGGGAATGGTAGACTTTAGATAGCAGGAATAATACGCATTTTGTTTAAAACTTTGTCCTTTTATTAAATCCCTTCTATTCATTTCTCAGTAAACAAGTTGTTGTTTTTCCCTACCAGGTTGTTTTTCTGTGGTTTGACACTTTTACTGTATGATAAATTGTTAGGAAATGTATTATGAGGGAATATGTTCAGATGGCTTCTTTCACTCATTTTTCTTCACCTTCTGTGAAGAGATGTGGCAGTTGGTTTCATTCCCATTTTATTGGTGACAAAATTGAGACTGATCTTCAAGGACATGTCAAGTCAAGGTGTGGGGCCACTTCTAGCTAATGCCTTTGCTGCCTTATCTTTTAAAAGTTGGATGTTTTACTTCATTCAATCTCCATTGTGGATGTTGGGTGGTGGTTTCAATTTGCTTATGAGTGCTAGTGGGCAAATCAAAATGTTCTGTGGGGTATATCTCTTTTTTAGTCATTCTACCAAGTACTATAATTTTTCTCTGCCTCTGTATTAGCCAGTCTCCTAATGTCTTTGTCTTGTGTTCTTGAGTTACAGGTCCCCAGGGATGAACCTATTCACATTCTGAATGTGGCTATCAAGACTGACTGTGATATTGAGGATGACAGGCTGGCAGCGATGTTCAGAGAGTTTACCCAGCAAAACGTAAGCCCTCAGCTGGGTGGAAACCTGTGACGGCTCCTTTCCTGCTGGCTGGGTATCATACCCATCTTTTTATCAGTTGCTGCTTGTAAGGCCTCTCACTGTTGATGACTATGTCCTTCACATAGTTCTCTGCCTATAGGGGTAAAATTCCAAAGGGACTTAATAGTATATAATGAATATCTTTTTATGTCAAGAAATACAGACCTCAACTATTTAAAATGTTTTAGGAAGGGAAGTGTGATCCTAAATCTTTCCCAGAGCTCCAGTCTTGAACTTTGAATCCCCTGCTGACTATTTTCCTTTGGTGGCTTACTTCCACATGTCTATGTCCACAATCCCCTCAGGATTCTTCTGTATCCTCTTATCCCCTCCCTTAAAGGTATCAGTTATACTTCCATTCTCCTTTCAATTTTGTATGACTTAATATCTCGCACTGACATCAAACTTCGTAGTTTAAACCTAAATTTTCATCATTTTCCTTCACCTCTTCTGACCCCTCATCTGCTCCCTCCTCCCCCCAAACAAAACAAAAACAAAAAACCCAAGTAACCAGTCATTCAGAAATCATTGACTTCCTCTTTTTCCTTGCCATTGCATGATGCTGCTCCTCTACCACAATCTATGTGTTTATTGGTATCTGGTCAGTCACCAAGGTCTGTTTTTTGTTTGTACTGTCTCTTTCCCTCCCTTCTTCCCTTTCTTTTCAGATTTTTAATTCCCTCTACCATCTCTCTGGTTTGAAACCTTATTCACCTCACACCTGAGACACTACAACAGGTTTACTTGCGATCTACCTATCTTCCTTCACTTTTCCCCTCCGGATAGTTTCCATTTTGTTCACCACCACAAAATTAAATGGCCAAAATGCCCTCTTACCAAATTATTCTCCCACTCAGCAATGATTCTCTGTTACTTCTAGGATGCCTCCTTAACTTGATATTTAACATCAGCCTATTGACGAAGGCTAACAATCTAGCCTTCACTGTTCCGTGAAAATACCTAAGTCTTTGTGTCTCGTCTCTTCTACTGCCCCTCACCCGGAATGTTTCTCTTTCTCTCTTTCCAAATCCTGCTTGTTTTAAAGACTTTTTCAAATTTCACCTCTTCTATGAGTACTTCTCTGAATAGCCCTAACTAAAATGTATTTTTCCTCCCTTGAACTTTTAATTGGTCAGCATACATTCACTAGCAATAATAATACTTTTTATTTATTAAGAACTTCTGTGTACAATTTTTTATTTGCACCTCACCACAGTCCCATGAGGTTAGATTAGTTAGGAATTATTCCAGTTTTGCACTTGGGGAAAAACTCAAACTCAGAGAGATTAATTAAAGCCCCCTCCTCCCCACTTTGATCACCAGCTGGTAGATGATGGAGCAAAAATTAGTATTTAAGGCTTTGATTCCACCTCTCGGGGCCACAGATCTAGGTGCTTTAGTAAATAATGTATTCTTTTGGCCCTGAAGATGCTTCAAGTTTAGTTGGAGGGACTGGGTAGGCATGCTCAAAATGATAGTCTGCATATAGTTACATGTCATTGCAATATATGATAGATGCCAAAGTGTCCTCTTCAGCTGTCCTTAATGACAAAGACCCATGTGTTTTCTTTGAATGGGAACTACCTAGCTATAGTGCTTATTATAAAAAAAGAACTGAATAGATTTTTAAAAGCTTGATTTAGCAGTATAAACAATTAATGCCATCGGCATTCACATCATGTAATGCTAATGGTAGATACCTGGGAAAAGATGGTAACTTTGTGCTTAACATGAGTCCTAGCATTTACTTCATGTTGCTCTGGGATTATAGTGGCCAACCTGAAGAAAGGCACTTACAGAAAAGTGAAAATAGGGGACATGCCTGGGAATTTTTCTTTAGAAGAGAAATTTACCTTTCTTTTTGCCCTTGTCTTGTGAACACATAAAATTAACCTGAAACCAGGGACCAAAGAAACCTTAGCTGGAAGAGTGCTAATGTTGTTCATGACTGCTGATGCTGCTATTTGCTGAGATAATCTGAAATTTTCTTCTCAGGTTTTGAGGCACTAATTGCCCTTATTTGATTGTTTGGACCTCAACTGTAGGCTTTTTATTACCCCCAGATCTTAGTGCTGTATGTCATGATATGTTGATTTAAAGAGGCAGTTTCTTCATCTTCATTACATAAATTTATAACATTAATTGGCAATAAGAAACTACCTTTTTCTTTTACTGGATTTGAAAACTGAGGCACAGAGAAATCCATTGTCTTTGCCCGAGGCTATTCAGAAGGGTAAGGGTAGACATTCCATGCCTAGAGAAGCTGTTAACTGCATCAGGTACTGTGCTTATCCAGAAATATTAGGCATTTTCACTTCCTTGTTTTGAAAAGAATGTAAAAATAAAAATAAGGAAAGGTAATAAAAAAAAGCTGAAATAACTAGTTTTATTTTTCACTTCATGATCATGTTCCTAGCAGTTTAGAAAAAGTTTTTTTTTTAAGCACACATTAAACTATCAAATAGGTTGATCCAAATTGTCCAAATAATCTTCTAGTCCCAGCATGTCTTTTTTTCTCTCAGAGAAATTAGGATCATATATTTGTAAATGACTTGTGGAGGAGATTGAAGCAGTCAGTGTAAATGGAGTTTCTCCAGGTGCTGGCGCCTAATCGCTGGGTAATAGCTGTGGACTTGCTGTGAGGCCCGCATTATTACAATGTAATCAGAATCCTGTTGCTCTGCTGTTATTGTCAGCCACTTGTGGAATTTTAAAAGCAATAACAATTTTGACTTTAAATCATGGCATTATTAAAGTTATTTTCTTCCCTTGCCTGAACATAGCTATTGATGCTTGTCTTTGAAGGGCTTGGCTGTGGTGGAATTCTTTGTTGGTGGTGTCAGAAGAAATGTTTCTGTTCCTTGGCACACTGAAAGATTGAGAACCACCACCACTCACCCCTTCCTCCACTCCTCCCTTCACTCCTTCCTTCCTCCATTCTGTCTTCCCTTCCCCCCTCCCTTTCTTCCTTTTCTTATTGTAGTATCAATACTTGGTTATTTATAATAACAGTTATGATGTCAGGACAGATAATTTTTAAATGTTATTAAACCAAAATTTATGTAAATTTGACCAGGGAATTTATTATTAGGAAATTTATTTTTCCAATTATATTTTGCTTATGTTGCTAATTAATTTTATTACTAAGCAAATGCTATAATAAAAATTTTCTCCAATAGGAGGAAATGGCTTGGGAATGTGCTTATTTATAAGCAGACTCCAATTTGAATTTAAAAAATATATAGTATCATGAAAATCAAGAATTGGCTTATGAACATATCTCTTGGCTAGAGTTATAGCAAGGAATTGATGAAACGAAAGTCTGGACGTAGGTTGCAAAAGCCCACATATTTTTTCTATTTGTATTTCTCATATATTTTCACAGGTCATTCAACTGGTGAGATTGCTTTTCTACTTGTTGCCATGTAGCCCCTCTTTGCTAGGGCCCTTTAAGATCATGCTGTTTACTTAGCTCATTAAACTGTTTCTTTGTCTCTGCCTTTTGAGATAAACGAGCAGTACAGATAGAAGAAAGCTTAGATCCAAAGGCCCAAGACTCATATGAGACAGTCCTGTAACTGCTGGTCTCTCTTGCCTTCTGATACACTGCTCAGCCATGCCAAGTGGAAATATGAATAATCACTAAATTTAAAAGTCCATTAGACATTGCTTTTAGCAATTTTTAAAGAGAATTTTTTTAAAAAATACTTTCATGTAAAGTAGGGGGAGGCATATTCTAGAATAAATGAAAAGATCAGGATTTGTTAGGTTGGATTCTAGGAATGCTATATATGACGGTAGGTGCTATGTATAATCTAAACAACAATTTAGAACCTGAAATTTCCACTTTATGACATTTTCTTCTTCTTCTGATCTGAATGACCTGATTTCATTTATCTTCTGTTTTAGTTTTAATCTTCACATTTGAACATGCTCACCAATGTGATTTCTATAAGTAGAATTGTGCTAAAATCTACCTTGAAGTGAATCAGACCTTAGAGAACTTAGGTGACTTCATTATGACTGCTTTTCCTACACAAAGTTCTCTCTCAATTTTGTCCAGATCAATATAAAACCTATCCCATAAGACTTAGTCCCAGGATCCAGATTGAGATTTATTTATTTGCAAGTTTGAAGGTACTAAGCCAAAAACATAGATAGATAACCAAAAAGGATGTTTAGCCCAATTAGAGCCTGTGGAGGACTGAATTGGGGTAAGATTTAGGATGAATGGAGATCTTATCTATCTTTTATTTTACATGTTTCTCCATAGAAAGCTACTCTGGTTGAGCATGGAATCCGCCGCCTTACTTTCCTGGTTGCACAAAAGGTATTGGTGTACTGTCTAACATTTCTTAAGATGCTGCTAGAATTTTTAAAAATCAGGAAGTGGAGTTATAATCATAAACTTATTCGTAGAATTTATGCTGAGAAATAACTGTTTTCCATAAGTTTAAGAAAAACATTAACTCATCTTTTACTCAATTTGGTTTTAAATTTATTATTTCTTTCCTTTCTGTCTTTCATTTGAAAGGATTTTAGGAAACAGATCAGCTATGAGGTGGATCAGAGATTTCATGTAAGTAAAAGGAACAATAATAAAATATTATTTACTGTTTTATCTGTTTCCCATTGATTATTTAAACATAGAATATGTGTGAGTTATTTAGAAGGGCTGGACTGATGTTTGGTCCCACTTCTTTTAGAAAGTATTATAATGACTATTCGATTCTTCTATGGTTGTTGTTTTTTTCTACCCTATAACATTCTCAGTATATCTCTGAGAAATAATTAAGAATGAGCATGATTGTAGAAGCAGGAGCTAATTTCTTCTACGCACACAGTGAATCAATAATCGAGAGCTGTCAATTGCTCTTTGGGGTCTTGGCTTTTTCCAAAAAGGATTCAAGTTCTATTATTGAGAATTATCAATTATGAGAAACAATCATTTATTATTAAAATGCCTTAACCGAGCCTAACTTGGTACTTTTGTCTTATGTTAATTTTAGGAGCAGGAAATAAATAAAAATTGCACATTAAGTTGCTTGTTCTCCTATTTAACTGAATTAACTTAATATTTATGAGATTAAAAGTTTTATTGAAAAAAGAAGTAAGTTACTAGCCTGGTATCTGAACTAAAGTATACCCATATGATCGGTATGATGATAGCACTAAGACCAAAAACCCAGTTTGCAATAAAGATGTCATTCTCTAAAATGACTGATTGTAGTAAAAATATTTCTTTATAAGTTGATCCTAATATAGCTAAGATTCCAGAGGATATTAGGAAGCCTTAATTTTCCTGATAAGAATTTTGTTTTATCAATTAAGATAATTAAATTAGTTTTCAAGGCCTGTTTATTTGCAATAATGAAGATAATATTTGGGATTCTGGAAATGACTTTCTAAACTTAAGGACCTATGTGTGGTTGCTTTTATTGCCCTTTTGTTTATTAGATCTTTAGCACTTGACATTTCGTTTTCCTTCTAACAGTTCACCTTGTTGGTCTAGTCCAGCAATTTTCAACCTTTTTAATCCCATGGCACACATAAACTAATTACTAAAATTCTGTGGCACACCAAAAAATATGTTTTTTGCTGATATGACAAAAAATGGTTATAATTTTGATTTATTCACACCGAACGGCTATTGTAGTGTTGGCTATTGTCATTTTTTAATTTAACAATCTAAGGGAAAAGAGGTCAGTACCCCTGACTAAATAGCATGTTTTAAAAATTCTTGTGGCACACCGATTGAAAATCGCTGGTCTAGTCTATAGAGAAACAAGAGAGTCTACCCTGCAAACTAAAGAGCTAAGATTCTCTGAAATGCTCTAGGAAGTGTTGTGGACTACACAACTCCCCTATGTTATTGATGTCAGGAAGCCAAGCAGAGTACAGATACATATCAATCAATAACTTTAGATAGGAAACTGGAGACAGTGAAGAAGTATGAGGAGCTTAAAGGGAACCCTGGAGCTTTAGGAAGAAAAATCCAAAGCTTAGAGAATAAAATTGATACTTGGGATAGAATATGAGAGACATGAATAAATACTGTGGCCGGTGGATGCTGATCAGAGCTAAGGTAGACATGCCAGAGCCAGGCCCTGGATTTGGGAAGAATATTGGGCTAGGTTCTTAAACTCTAACCTGATTTTTATTTTTTCACTGACTTTGGGATACTATATTTTTCTGGAGAATCATGTTGAATTTGTAAAATTGTTTTCCTTTTTCCTAGTTGTTCAGATGGAGCCTTCATGTTTATAGCACGTGAACTGGTTTCCCATAATAAGCATTTTCATGATAAATTAAAACTCTCTACTAAAAATTTTTAAAAGCCAAAGCAATTAATTATTACGGGCATTTTTTTAGTGTGTTTTATACATAGAAAAAAAATATATCCTGTCTTACTGCTAAATCTATGTCATGTCCTAGAGAGAGTGTGTGTGTGTGTGTGTGTGTGTGTGTGTGTGTGTGTATAGCTTTAAAACATGTTTTCCCTCTCTGTTCTAATATTTCTGGACTTAGGTTGAAGAGGGACATGTACAGGCAAAATCTACTTAGAAATGAGCCCGGCTATGGGTCTTTCTTAGGAATCATGGTCCAGTTCCTATTTATAGTGACATCAAGTGGGAAATTGGTTATATTACCAAGTGACGTGATTTGTCATGAATGTAGGAAAGGTTGCTTTAGAACTTAGAGAAATTAAGGTGGAGACTAGATTTTCTCTGAACCATTGAATGGCAGAGGAGTTGGGTTATTTTTATGTTAGGCCCCTTAGAAATGATTAGTGGTTACACAGGGGGCAAGGGCAACTATTACTGAATTCCATCCAGGATCTACAATAGCCAGGACCCCTTGGCAGGAGCTGTACAAATCCAGGGCTCACTGCCATGGTGTTGCTGTAAGTTCCTCTGCTGGTGGTAGCTTACCATCATGAAGGGTGCTTAGCCTTTGTCATGTCATCTGATGTGTGCTTGCCCCATAGTTAGTGTAGTGTGAAAAAGAGGAAGCTTTCCGTGAGTGTTAGAGATGAATCCCTTGATCTCTCTGGCTTCTTGGTAATCCACTGTGATGTATGCAGTCTCTCCTGTTCCACACTGTGAAATCCCTATATTATTGAATAGAAGAGAGAAAGCAAGCGTACATGAGGGGGCAAGGAGAGGAGGAAGGTTACCAAGTTTGGTTCAAGAACAACATTGGCTGGTGTGGATGAAGCAGCTCTACTGTTGCATAGTTGTCTCTCAGACCATTTCAGAACCAGAACAAGGCAAATGAGGGCCAGAGTAGAGGTTCCTAGAGAGTGGGTATATTGTTAGGTGTTTTTTTCAGATACAGTGAAGGCTATAAGCATTTCCAAAAATTTGATGTTTAATCTCCACAGTCCCACTGGAATGCCTGCTGCTACCTTAGTCTCTTGACTCTACATGAAGCCTGTTCTGAGCTGGCAATATTTGTCAGCATTAAGGACACTTGGTGTCGAGTCTGTTTCCAGACCATCTAATTAAATCAAGTACCTATCATGGGATTTGAATAACTGCTTAACATTACTATAATAACAGAACATTTGAGGAAAAATTAGCCTATTCTTATAAATATCTTCTTCATATTAAAAAAATATTGAAACCTTGAAAGCCAAAGAACAGGCTTTGAATTTTTGCAGCTATGAAAGCTGCAGCTCTCTGCATTCATGTAGTATTAAGTCTGTTTGTTTCACTCACATTTCAGGTTCCAAAACATGCAGCAGAAGGTGCTATTTAACTGGAATATAAGTATTATACTTTTTGAAGTTTCCATATTTTTTCAGCAAAGTGTTTTAAGAATACTAAAATGTACATTTTCAGGATTTCTTCTTATCCTTTGCCACCTAAGCAAGAGCATTAGGGCCAAAAACTGTGATGAAATTCTAAATCAGTTTTGCATCTGTAAAGTTTCCTTTTGATTCTTGTTTGTAAGATTTCATGAGATTTTTAAAATTCTGCTATAAATAGCCTAGATGCACTTTTATTGATTTTATGTAAATAACTCGCACTTTAAAATGAAATGTTTTGGAAGGAAGAGCCCACTATTGAAAAGAGTTATCATGGTTAAGTAGTTCGTTTCTTTAAAAAAAATTTATATGTCAACTATATCTCAATAAAGCTGAAAAAAATTGGTAGTTTTGTTTGCTAGTGGATCAACTATTAGTTTTTCAGAAGGTTTGGTTTGGGTTTTTGTTTTAATTACAGTCTATATAATTAGTTCTCAGCATGTTGAGGTAAAAGAGAATTGCACCAGCAAGCTTTCAATTTCTTCATCTCATTAGGTTTTTAACACGATTATTAGTATCATAATCAGCTATGATGTTTTCTGTTGCAGGTTTTCACATTCTCTGATTTGCAGGGTGTCTTGATTGGCTAATTTAGTCAAATTATTTTGATTGTCTTGATGATGGTTGGCTGATTTAGAACACAGCAGGGGTATAATTTCTTCCTGAGAAATGTTGCATTCTTTTGTTTTTTGGTACCAGAACACTAAGAGGGTTTTTCTTTGTGTACATTCAGTTATGATATTTGCCCATAACACTAGTAGAATGTCTGGAAAGCAATTATATTAGTGATAGAATAAGCATGAATGCAGTTAGTGGAAAAATTGGCAATATGAGGATGAGGTAGGATGAAGGAATTTACTAAAACTATAGGATCAGACTTTTGTATTTCTTTTTTTCTGTGTTTTTCTGTATTCCTGTGATTTTTGTTTGTGTGTGTGTGAATGCCAAAAGAGGTGACTTTCTATAAAAGTCCTCAGACTTGAAGAATTGCTCATTAATCCTGCTGTCCCATTGCACAGAAGTTCTTACTCTCCTGTTCTGAATGCTTTATGCTTAAATTGAGGATTTTTCTGTAGAGCTAAAATTTACTCAAAAAATGTTTGCTGATATTATCTCATAACACCTTTTCTTAGCTAACTTTAATGAAAGTGGTTTTTCTTATTGGTGGTCTATTCCCACCTCTGCCAAGAATTAGTCAGTCTCTTTCATTATTTGTAATAAAGGCATTTCTATTCAAATTGTTTGCTTTTCATGCCTTTCAGTTACTACAAATTTTTTTAGTTGGTTTAAGTGGTAAAAAAAAAAGTGTTTTTTGGTTTCTATTGTTACGTTTTTGAAGGAAAATAGTCATTTAAATAAATGATGTACTAAATAAATATTTTAATTAATTAATGTTTATCACACTCTTCTATTCTGTCTTAACAATTAGGTAAAATATTTATTTAGTACATCACTTTCCTTTCAGAAATTTTCATGAAAGTATTTTGTTACCCTTCCTTTTTTGACTTGTGTTACCTTAGGTAGTGCTCTGAAAGCCATATTTCTCAAGAATAAAACAAAAATGAGACTATAAAGCCCTGAGCATATACCCTACTGACAATGCAGCTGAACATCTTTCTGTTTAACCTTTAAGTCATCCCCATGTTCTTTACTATTATTCAGGGGAATTAGAGAATTACTTAGAATGAAAACACCATCAGTAAAATATCAGTGCTGTGTAAAGTTCACTTTCAAAAGACTTTTAAAGACCTAAGCCTGGATAGGGGGTTTCCCAGGCTTGCTAAACAAGCTCCTAGAAGCCTGTTAAATGCAATTTTACAGTTAAAATGCAAGAAAAATGTAAGAAGGTTTACTAACTGTGCAAGCTATAGTTAAGGTGAGGGTGAGGTGTAATACCTGTGGAAAGTATTTAATAAGTTTTCAGTAAATTCATGAACCACAACTTTTCAGTATGAGTTTTGCTTTGTTTTTTAAATTTTTTTTAAAAAAAGAATTTCTGTTTAAAGAGAAGACTTCTATTGAATCTGGGTTATAACAAAAATAGAGGGGTAATGCTCTACACGTGAGAAGTAGTGTGGTAGAGATGAAGGGCATGAAGAGACCCGAGTTCATATTCTAGGTTTCTGATACTGGGCATATCACTTGTTCATGGCTTCCTCAGCTGTAAAATGGGATACCTAACCTCGAGAGGTTGTTGAGAGCATTCAAGGGGACAACACATGGGAGCGCCTGCCACCTAGCAGGCTTTCATTTCAGCTCATGTTTCCTTCATGGTTCCTAAAGCTCATTGAGAGACATTTATGCAGCTGGTCCTGGTTTCTCTGTCTTGTCCCAATGAGTGTTTGATTATCTTGCACTCATAATGAAGAAGATGCCTAATGAAACCTCCTATAGAGGCACATAGTAATGACTTGACTCTAACGCCACCAATAGAGCTTTCCATCCGAGAAACGGGGGTATTTGGTGTTAATAAGTTAAATTTCAGAAACTAATGGACTCTGCTAATTGAATTCATCTTTGTTAATTAATAAGGTTCTAGTAAATTGGTTGCTTTCTTTTGTAATGCCCTGTAAAAGAGCGGTAAGACCAAATGATTCTATGTTCACTAGTTCCACCCCATTCTTTCTTACACATGTAGTGGTAGTGACCAAAGTAACATCTTTACTTTTGTCTTCAAACGTTATTGTTTAAACCCTTCAGATTATTGATTTGAGAGTGAATGAGGAAGACACATGGATTGGGGATTTTATGCTTTCTGGTTAGTTTCATTTTAAGAGTTTCTTAAGGGGAAACTTGGGAAATCAGTCCAATAACTGCTATTGCAGTGCAGAAGCTTAGAGAGTATATTGGTTTTATTTGCCAGGTTGTGCCAAGAGCAATACCCAGGAAGAATTTTTTTTTTCTCACTTGGGAGATGAAAAAATACAATTCCCCGCCCTCACCCCACCCCCCCAAGAGAGGGTAACTATTGAAGTTAGGTTAATGGTGTGGTGATTCTCAAATGTGGAAGTGGGGTCAAAGTGATGGTTACCCAGAGGATCATTCACATTCCCTAGGCTAAGGTTCAGTAAGGATTGTGTTTTCTAAGAAACTGTCTTTTGATGCTTGAGTGCTTCTGTACTATATGTTGATCCCCAAAGAACCATATCTATGAAGGACTGATACATTTTCCCCTTCTTTTAACACAGAGAGAATTCCCTAAATTTTTCACGTTCCGAGCAAGGGATAAGGTAAGAACTAATTCCTTCCCTCTGTTTTGTTTTATTTTTATGTTTCTTTTTCCTTACAAGTCTAAGAGTGGCATATCTTTGCCGTTTTTTTCTCTAATTGAATCTGTGCTTCCCTTTGCCTTACATGTATCTTAGAACGAAAGAAGACTGTCTTCTGAAAGAGTTTGGTTTAGGAAATAATCGAATATACTAACCTACCCAAGAAAGCAATAAATTTCAAAATCATCCTTATGCTTTTGATGTGATATTAAAGGACTGCTATACTTAGTAGGATTATTCTCATCACCTACAGTTTGTTTATATTCAGAGTTACAGTTTTTCAAATTTTAAAATACAAACTTTCAGACTGTGTTGGTTTCTTCCTGTTACCATTCACTCAATTGACATGTACTCTGGAAAAACAATTTAATTTCAGCAAAAAAATATATTAAATGTAAATATAGTTCTTAAGATATATATGTATATGTGTATATATATGTATATGTATATATAGGATGTTTCAAAGCCAAATACCTCTATTTAAAAAATTATATAATGTTCATTTGTCAAGTATTTACTGTGTCCTTTGTATTGTGCCAGAAATTATAAGAGTATAAGACATGGGTTTTGCCCATGAGCATTTTAGACTAGGTGGGTAAAACCAAAACACTGGTATGTGAAGTAGTTGTTAATGTGAAACAGTTTGTAGTTCATTGTTAAAAAAAAAAAAAAGAATTATAAAGATATTAAATGCTACAGGAGTTCTAAGGGAATTGATTTTTTTGTTTGTTTTTAATGGAGAGCATCATCACTTGTAAAAGCATAAATGATGAAAGCTTGGGAAGTTAAATAGGTTTTTTAGCGCCTAACCTTATGTAAGCTATAGCATTATCCTTGAATGTAGACCATTTTTGTTGTTCATTAGCACATCATAGCTTATGTTTTTATTTTTAAGCATCTCTTTTACATAAGTACGCATTAATAATATCATTCTGTAACCACTTCTGGTGGGCTGTTTTTCCTCCAATTCTTGTGCTCAGTTTGAGGAGGATCGTATTTATCGTCACTTGGAACCTGCCCTCGCCTTCCAGTTAGAGCTGAACCGGATGAGAAATTTTGACCTCACTGCCATTCCATGTGCTAATCACAAGATGCACCTGTATCTTGGGGCAGCCAAAGTGGAAGTGGGCACAGAAGTGACAGACTATAGGTTCTTTGTCCGTGCGATCATTAGACATTCTGATCTGGTCACCAAGGTGGGTGCTGTACTTTAATGGGAAGTTATCCCTGAGGGAAGGGACAGAGGAACAGTCATGGTTCAAAATTAGGTTTTCTCTTTTTGAGTCAAAGCTCTTGTTCATCTCACTCTCTAATAACCAGCAGAAGTCTGAGAATCATTCCTCTTACAGAAGTAAATATTCCATATAATAACAAACTTTTTCCCCTTTCATTTGAATTTCCTTGGTAATGGAATCATAGTAACTCTCACTTGAGAGAAGGAAAAGCATATTAACAGAAAATCACAGGAGAGTTAGGTGATGACAGAGGGTAGTGAGACAGGTTAGAAGTGACCCCATTGTAAACTTGTCTAAAGGTAGGGTAGTTTCTCTACACAGCAAGGTGCTTCCTGGTGTGTTAGTTATTACTACATCCCATAGCCATAACCTTTCTAAACTGCTCTGGCATATGTGAGGTGTAACCCTATTGGGATTCCAGTATCCCCACCTATTGGAAGGAAATGATACACTAAGAGACAGGAGGAAGAGTGCAGGAATTCTTTTTTTTTGTTTTGTTTTGTTTTTAGTTTTTGTTAATCCTCACCAGAGGATATTTTTATTCCCCATGACTTTTTAGAGAGAGTGGAAGGGAGGGGGAAAGAGGAAGAGACAGATACATCGATGTGAGAGAGACACATTGATTGGTTGTCTCCCACACGCGCCCCAACCAGGGCTAGGCATTGAACCTGCAACCCAGGAACATGCCCTTGACCAGGAATCGAACCTGAGACCCTTTGGGCCATGGGTCAATGCTCTAACCACTGAGAAACACCAGCCAGGGCTGCAGGAATTCTTAATCTGACCCTGCCTGCCCCTGCTGCCTGTGGTTATTGGGTTGACTAGGGAGAAAGGTCAACGCACTTCTAGCAGGTGCCTTATGATTCATGACATACCACCGCTTAATTCAGTGGTTCTCAACCTTCCTAATGCCACGACCCTTTAATACAGTTCCTCATGTTGTGACCCAACCATAAAATTATTTTCGTTGCTACTTCATAACTGTAATTTTGCTACTGTTATGAATCGTAATGTAAAGATCTGATATGCAGGATGTATTTTCATTGTTGGTGACCCACAGGTTGAGAACCGCTGGGCCTTAAGTAATTATAATAGCCATTTCATTATTGCCTCTTAAAACACATTAATGTTGATTTCTTCCTGCATAGGAAGCTTCTTTTGAATATCTACAAAATGAAGGGGAGCGGCTGCTCCTGGAAGCCATGGATGAGTTGGAAGTCGCTTTTAATAATACAAATGTTCGTACTGACTGCAACCACATCTTCCTCAACTTTGTGCCCACGGTCATCATGGATCCATCAAAGGTACGTTTCTTCTTAGCTTCTCTCCCAGAAGTAGCAAACGCAAGCAGTGAGATTCATTCATATTTATTCTCACTAGGACCTGGACACAGGTACTCTTTTTTTTTTAAATATATTTTATTGATTTTTTACAGAGAGGAAGGGAGAGAGATAGAGAGTCAGAAACATCGATGAGAGAGAAACATCGACCAGCTGCCTCCTGCACATCTCCTACTGGGGATGTGCCCGCAACCCAGGTACATGCCCTTGACCAGAATCGAACCCGGAACCCTTCAGTCCGCAGGCCGACGCTCTATCCACTGAGCCAAGCCGGTTTCGGCTAGGTACTCTTGATTAGCTGGTTGAGCCCTTGATATGTAAAGTTTACAGAATGCTTATAAGACTGGTTTTTGGGATGGTGTCAGAAATTTGCTATAGCTTTGAAAAGCAGACCTCAAGAATGAAGGTGGTATGATTTACCTTGCTGGTCATTTATTTATAAGCAGTACAAAAACATAAAAACTTTTCCACTTCCTCCATTGGTACCTGTATAATGATATTTGCCCATGATAGCTGTCCTATCTTATATAATTCCCTAGGATTTCTCATCTAGAATAATTAACTTGGTATTGGGCATTTTGGCAAAATTACTGCCTCGTACTAAATGTTACTTAGCTCGTGGCTTAGGGATGTCATATACCTTCCCAAGTATCTAACCTGTTTGTATTTAGTATTTTTCCACAGGTAGAAAATTTGGCTAATAAGGAATTTCACAAGTATTATGTATGCTTTCTTCCCTGAGGCTCTGTTCTAAAATGCATTCTATATAACTTAAGGAAGGAAAACAAAGTGATTCTGTACTTGACCTTTTATCCCATAGAAGGCTGCTCTCTGCTGCTGCTCCCTCTAACCTTTTTCTTTCATATTGTGGAATTGGATTGGAGAACCAGTATATACCTCTTTATTTATTTTTTAAACTATGTTTTTATTGATTTGAGAGAGAGAGGAAGGGAGAGTTGAGAGAGAGAAGAAGGGAGAGAAAGAGATAGAAAGAGATAGAAATCTCAATGATGAGAGAATCATTGATCAGCTGCCTCCTGCACGCCCCCTACTGGGGATTGAGCCTACAACCTGGGCATGTGCCCTGACCAGGAACTCTTGACCTCCTGATTCATAGGTTGATGCTCAGTCACTGAGCCACACCACCTGGGCATACCCCTTTCTCAAGATCAATTGTAGGCATAGACTTTTGCTTTTTGAACTTAGTATGTAAGACCTGAAAAATCTTTTTCTACTTTTTTTCTTCAAGACTCCAAGCTATTGATCAGTTGCTTTATCTGTCAGGAAAGCCTAGGATAGGACAACTCATTGAGTACCAAGTCTCATCATGTAGTTTAAGCAAAGGTTCCCCTAAGCATTCTGGGACGGATGAAGCTGAAAGACTTAAACATGGCCTGGACACTATATAACTATATATATTTTTAGATTTAGCCTACAATTTCTCATTGAATTTTTATATCAGCCTCTCTGTTCTACTCCACACACCATATACCCTGGCTCTGCCTTTCTAATCATAGGTAGTTGTTAATTTCCTTTTAGAGAGATGTTGATTTTTGTTCCCTTGAGAAAAGAATGGATAAATATCACTTGGTTAACAAGCAACTGTGGGGATAGGTAAGTTAACTCCTTAAAACCCATTTTAACCTAAAATTCTGTGGTGCAGAAACAAATTGCAGGAGTGGCACATACTTCTGAAAAACCACAAGAGAAGGGTGATGTGAGTTATTTTTCAGAGTTTTCTGAGTTGAGAAAGCATTTTAGAAAGATACTTCACTTAAGAAACATTAATTTTGAGTAGTATGTCCAGTTGCCTGCAGCCATGTTGGAAAAATATGTTTTTGCTCTAGTGTATCAATAAGGAGAAATCACACCTAAGGCTGTAGGGTTAAAATAACTTACCTGACCCTGAAAACTAGAAACACTAAACTGATTTGGTATTAAGCTTAGGGAAACTAGGGAATATCTGCTTCATATACTTAAATCCCAGTTGGACTTGGCAATGACCAAGCTTCAGAGCTCTGTTTAGAGAAAACATTCTAGCACCACCTACAAATTGCCTATTTTTAATTTGTGCAATTTACCAAGAGACATATATTATAAAGTTTAATAAAATGTATGGAAAAAAGTTCATGGTGGTAATTGCTATGTTGATTTAAGGTCCTGAAAGTGCAATGAAACATAGTTACCATGCATATAAATGCTACTTAATAGCTATTTAACTAGAGATTTTATTCTTATTTGGGGCTTCCTCTTAAATCCCATGGCTTGTAATTTTAGATATTGCAGACCTTTGAGATAGAATATGAATGTAATTGGAAAAGGGGGAAGGAGTTGCACACATTTGGGTGTTGTTAGCCATAGAAAACTGCTCATACAACAGGCCAGCATGAAATTGTTCCTGACTTATCTAAGCAAAAGTAGGCTTGGGGAGAAACTATACAACTTTTTGTAAGGAATACATGTACACATCTCGAGAAACCAGCATCTTGTTCCATTCTTCCTTTCCCAAAGATGGGCAGACCTAAAACAAGTCCTAGTTACAGGTTTTTAAGTTTTGTGCTTGGTGATTGTGTGTGTCAGATTGAGGAATCTGTGCGGAGCATGGTAATGCGCTATGGAAGTCGGCTGTGGAAATTACGCGTCCTCCAGGCAGAACTGAAAATCAACATTCGCCTGACACCAACCGGAAAAGCAATTCCCATCCGCCTCTTCCTGACAAACGAGTCTGGCTATTACTTGGACATCAGCCTGTACAAGGAAGTGACTGACTCCAGGACAGCACAGGTACAGTAGTGAAGCACTAGTCAAACTTTGAGATCTCCTCAAAGTTTTTATTTGGTCTTATGGATAAGCCACTTGCACTTGCTATAGAAGACCCAACCTCATAAATCCCATTGGTTCACCTAGTGGGCTTGTCCTCTATTAGTTAAACGATTGCATGAATTTGAAAAACTTCATTTGCCTCATAAGATGTGTCTATGTTCTTAATCATCCTATAATAAAGCGGTAATATGCAAATTGACTGTAACGCCCTTGCACAAGATGGCTGCCCCCATGTGGTCAAAGATGGCTGGCAGGGGAGGGCAGTTGGGGGGCAACCGGGCCTGAAGGAGAGGGCAGTTGGGGGCAATTTGGCCTGAAGGGGAGGGCAGTTGAGGGCGGTCAGGCCTGAAGGGGAGGGCATTTGGGGACAATCGGGCCAGCAGGGGAGCAGTTAGGCGTCGATCAGGCTGGCAGGGGAGTGGTTAGGGGGTGATCAGGCTGGCAGGCAGAAGCAGTTAGGGGCAATCAGGCAGGCAAGC